ACAAAATAGACACTCCACTGGCCCGATTGACCAAAAAAAAACAAGAGAAAGTGAGAATCAACAGCATTAAAGATGAAAAAGGCAACATAACAACAGACACTGCAATCATTAAGAAAATAATTAGAAACTACTACAAAGAACTGTACTCCCACAAATTTGAGGACCACCAAGAAATAGAAAAGTTCTTGGACTCCCACCATTTACCAAAACTCAGTCCGGAGGCAACTGCAGAATTAAATAAACCCATAACCGAGGTAGAGATTGAAACAGTCATCAAGGATCTCCCAACGAAAAAAAGCCCAGGCCCAGACGGCTTCACTACAGAATTCTACAAAACATTCCGAACAGAACTAACCCCAATCCTCTACAAGCTCTTCAAAACAATAGAGGAGGAAGCAACCCTCCCAAACTCATTCTATGAAGCCAACATCACCTTAATCCCAAAACCGGATAGAGAACCATCAGAGAAGGAAAACTACAGACCTATTTCTCTGATGAACATTGATGCTAAAATTCTCAACAAAATCCTAGCCAATAGAATTCAAAAAATCATCAGACAGATCATTCATCCGGATCAAGTAGGATTCATCCCTGGAATGCAGGGATGGTTCAACATTCGGAAATCCATAAATGTTATAAACCATATCCAAAAACTGCAAAACAAGAACCACATAATAGTTTCAATAGATGCAGAAAAAGCTTTCGACAAAATCCAACACCTCTTCATGCTAAAAACTCTAGCCAAAGTAGGCATAGATGGGAAAATCCACAACATAATTAAAGCAATTTATGAAAAACCCAACGCCAGTATCATACTGAATGGAGAAAAGCTAGAACCCTTCCCACTGAGATCTGGAACAAGACAAGGGTGCCCACTATCACCACTGCTATTCAACATAGTCCTAGAGGTACTTGCAGAGGCCATAAGACAAGAAAAAGAAATCAAAGGCATACGTATAGGAAACGAAGAAGTCAAGCTTTCACTATATGCAGATGACATAATCCTATACATAGAAAAACCAGGAGACTCAATACAGAAACTGCTAGAACTTATACGAGAGTTTGGCAGAGTGGCGGGGTACAAAATTAACGAACGAAAATCAACAGCCATAGTGTACGCAAATAACACCAAGATGGAAGAAGATCTAACCAACAGGATACCATTCAAAATAGCAGAGAGAAGTATGAAGTATTTGGGAATAAATCTAACCAAAAGTGTAGGAGACCTATTCGAAGAAAACTACAAACTATTTAAAAAGGAAATTGAACAAAACCTCAAAAGATGGAATAACATCCCGTGCTCCTGGATAGGCAAAATCAATATCATTAAAATGTCTATACTACCACAAGCAATATACATTTTCAACGCAATTCCAATCAAATTGCCCAAAACATTCTTCACGGAACTGGATACAATGATTCAAAAGTTCATCTGGAAACACAAAAAACCACGAATAGCTTTTAAATGTTGTTGGGACAACTGGCTGATAGCCTGTAGAAACAAAAAGATAGACCCACATCTATCACCATACACTAAGATCCAATCTACATGGATAAAAGACCTAAACCTACATCCAGAAACCTTCAAACTCTTGCAAGAAAATGTAGGAAATACCCTGCAAGACCTAGGAGTAGGTACCGACTTTCTAAGAAGGACACCAAAAGCAATAGCAGTTGAGAACAGAATAAACAAATGGGACCTCATCAAACTAAGAAGCTTCTGTACAGCAAGGGAAACAATCAACAAAGTAAAAAAGCAACCCACAGAGTGGGAGAAGATCTTTGCACACGATATAGGCGATAGGGGGCTAATTTCCAGGATATACAAAGAACTTCAAAACAACCAAAAAACCAAAACAAACAAGCCACTCAAGAAATGGGCACGGGAAATGGGCAAACATTTCACAAAGGAACAAGTCCAAATGGCAAACAAACATATGAAAAAATGTTCCAGCTCCCTAGCAATAAGGGAAATCCAAATTAAAACATCGATGAGGTACCACCTAACACCAGTAAGATTGGCCCACATAAACAAGAACACCAACGACGCTTGCTGGCGAGGATGCGGGGAAAAGGGAACCCTACTCCACTGCTGGTGGAGCTGCAAATTGGTACAGCCTTTATGGAAATCAGTCTGGAGAACACTCAAACAACTCAAAATCTGCATACCATATGACCCAGCAATAGCACTCTTAGGAATATATCCAAAACACCTGTTTTACGACAAACCAACATGCACCCCTATGTTCATTGCAGCACAATCAGTAATTGCGAAAACATGGAAGCAACCGAAATGCCCATCAGCAGAAGATTGGATAAGAAAGCTTTGGTTCATCTACTCCATGGAATACTACTCAGCTATTAAAAAAAACAAAATGCAGTTCTTTGTGGCTAAATGGGCACAACTGGAAACTATAATGCTAAGGGAAATGAGCGAATCCCAAAAGATTAGATACCACATGTTTGCCTTGATTTAACCTGTAATTTTTTGTTTGGTTGTTTGTTATTTTTTGAACCTGTCATTGATACTGTCTCAACCCAGATGTTTCGAAGAATGGAACTTGCATTATTTTTAACATATTGTTTACCCAATACTATGTCAATTAATTCCATAATGTTGTATAATGATACTGAGGCCTTGTTGGGGCTTTTAACTGACTGGATCTTTACTCTGTTAGACCTATCTTCAGACCATAGAAGGTCTCCCCAAGAGGCCACTGAACTTATCTGGACAATAAGACGCTGAACTTTATGCTAGGCATGTGTTTGCAAGCAATGAATCTCAACTGAACTTGAACTATGGTTATGCAACAAGGTGGAGGAATCCACCATGGGGGGAGGGGTATGGGAGGGGTGGGGGGGATCCCCAGCGCCTATAAAACTGTACTACATAATATAATGTAAGCAACAATAAAAAAAAAAAAAAAAAAAAAAAAGAAAGCTGCTGGGGCCTGCTTGTTCACAACCAGAGTCAATCCATTTTTGAAATTCTTCTGCCAAAAATGTTTTCTTGTGGCCTGTAGGAACAGCATTCCCCATGTTCCAAGGGTTGAGTTTGCCAATGGTGTTGAGATACTCGAATGCACAGTGGTCCTGGCCTATTAGTTCTGGGAGGGTTTACTGGTGCAGAAACCACAACATTTTCTATGAGGAACCAAGAGGAAGAGTCCAGGTTCTGCTGGCCCCGTACAGGTTGCTACCTGCTTTTTAAAAACCCAAAAACACTCTTGGCTTGCAGGCCCACACCAAACAAGCCAGAAGCCAGATCGGGAGGGCAGCTGCTTTGCCAGCAGCCCTGTCAGTTGTCACTTTCTGTCCTCCTTATTTACAGACCTTAGGGGCCAGGCCACAACCCTGGTGGACTGGTCACTGTCTTGAAATGCTCCCTATCCAATGTGGGTAGAGCTATGCCACTGCCGCTGGGCCCAATGCTTCAGGAGTCGGTACTCGAGAAAGAGCACTTGAACCATCCCTTGCTGCCTCCTGGGTGTACATGAGAAGTCCGATGGAAAGCACAGCAGGGACGCCCCTACAAGATGTGGGTGTCATAAGCAGGGACACTTAAGTCCAATGTGATCACATGACCTTCCTAAATCCTCGATCAACAAAACATCTATTTTCAGGTACAGAAGCGGCACTCCTAGCCTGGCTGGGAGATGTGGCTCCTGGTACACAACGGGTATGTCCGTGATCACAGGGCACCTGGTATGGACAGTCTTATATGCCTGGCTTCGGCCTCATGTCTTCTGGAAGTGTTTGTAGCTTGCTAATGTGCCTGAGAAAGCAGCAGAGGACAGCCTAGTTCCTGCACCCATGTGGGAGACCTGGTAGAAGCTCCTGGTTCCTGGCTCCAGGTTTCCAATTGGCACAGTTCTGGCAGTTGTGGTCATTTTGGGAGTGAACCAGCAAGTGGAAGTTTTTGTCTCTCAATCTCTGTTACGTCTTTCAAGTAAATAAAAAAAAAAAAATCTTAAGGAAAAAGCAGGTGGCTTGAGAAAGCATGGTGGCCAACACAAGCTTCCAAATGGCTCCCGACATAGACTTACTGGGGCTCTGGGGGAGATCCCACTCCTCCCCATGCAAGGTCAGGAAGGCCGGGATGCATGGCAGGGCTGGCTAGGACACAGGCTGAGTCATCGGCAAAGTAGCTGCAGGCCACTGCCATGGTCTGCAGTCGGGAAGCAGGCTGGGAAAGGACCAAGGTCTCTGCTGTCCCAGGTGCCCAGGGCCTTCTGACCCAACTGCTTTGTGCTTGTAAGTTATGGGGTCTTCTATGGGACCCCCTAGCAGCCCCGCCAAGGCTCAGACCTCACCTGCCAGGGGTCTGTTTTAGGAGGAGAGTGTTTCAAAGAGGTCACAGAAAACAGAATTAAACATACGAGTTTGTCTGGTGCGAAAACTAAAATCACACCTGGTTTTTCATAAGCACTTTCCACATTTTATGGAAAATTCATCTACACCAGAATAAACTCATATTTAAATTCCATTTCCCAGGATGTTCTGGAATGTAAATGCCATCAGAACCAGAGCACTACAAGTACAGTAGTATCTGGTAGTGAACAAAGAGCACAACATGGCCACAGCTGTCAGAACTGGGCCAACTGGAAACCTTGAACCAGGAACCAGGAGCTTCTCCAGGGCCACACAGAGAAGAAAAGAGCTGACCCAGGAAGTCGAGGAACTCAGCGCTGCAACACTAACCTGGCTCTGGCTGGGTCTTAGGATCACCTTGAGGCCTCATGGCACAAGAGGTGGGCAGACTCCTATTGACACAGTCCCGCATGGGGTAGACATTCACTTCTGAAGACAGAACACAGTAGCAGCACCACAACCACAAGCTCCCATGCCATCTGCAGCATATTGTAAAGGAGACCCTTGGTACCCTGGAGAGCATTTGATGCTGTGAAACCCCCGGCCCAGAGAGGCTCCTGCCTGGGAACCAAGACGATGGGAAGGCCCCATCCCTGGACCACCGAGCAGCTGTCCTTGGGATGCATTACCTGCAAGTTTATGAGCTGTGCAGTAGATTTTCCTTGGAGGCACAAAGCCTGAGCAATGAAGGCCTGCAAGTCTTCCAGACAAAGAGTGTCCACCTGCAAGGGAGAGAGGCCAGGGTCAGGCAAAGAGAGTCCATCTGCAAGGGAGAGAGGCCAGGGTCAGGCTACCAGAGAAACCCAATGTTTCTTGCTTTGTGACCTGCTCTCACCACACACATGCAAGGAGCATCAGATCTTGGGGACAGGCTTTTCTCTCACTGCTGCCCCCTCTGCACAGGGGGACATGGGCTTCCAGAAAGGTCTCTTGTGTGCTGGGAGTCTCACTGTCAGCAGACATGTGCTCAGAGCTCCTGGTTAGGCTGAGCTGGGTTACACATATGTGGCTGCTGACCCAAACTTGTCACTCAGGTTTCTACCCTGCCTCCCCACAGGTCTCAGTAACATGGGGAGCAGGCAGAGGCAGAGCAACAAAACCAGGAGGGCAGAGTCTCAGCAGGGTCTGCATTCTCCCTACCATGCGTGCCCAGTGCCAGGTTTTGCTGGGGCCCACACCACCCCTGTGTCACCACTAAAAGCCAAGAACTCATTCCATGGAAAACAACAAACCTACAGGTAATAGTATGTGGACTCTGTGAGACAATAACCCTAATACATCCACTCCCGATGCCAACAGCCACAGTGGAGGTTAGGTCTGCACCTGAGCTCTTCCTAACCAGGAAACCTACTGGCTCTTGTCTCTCCACCTGGCCTCATCCCCACAGACTAACACCCACTCCTATCCCCCTCAAGTCCAGCCTATTCCACACCAGGCACCACCTTTATAGAGTGGCAGTAAGTCTTCTTGGTTTAGGGATCTGTGACCACACTTAGTCTTAAAATGCCATGTTGAGCAGCAAACCCAACATGGGATGCCTCTTTTGAGACTTGTGACCCACCATCCACTCTCATAAGGTCTGTGAGTACAAAACCCTTCTTGTCCTGAGACTTGTTGTTGTCTTTTTTTTTAAGACTTATATATTTTATATGTTTTTAACTGGAAAAGCAAATTTTAACAAAAAAAGGAGATATCTGCCATCTGCTGGTTCACTCTTCAAATGGCTGCAATGGCCAGAGCCGAGCCAATCTGAAGCCAGGAGCCTTCTCCTGGTCCCCTACATGGGTACAGTGTCCCAAGGCTTTGAGCCAACCTCCACTGCTTTCCTAGGCCACAAGTAGGAAACTGGATGGGAGGCAGTGCAACCGGAATACAAACTGGTACCCATAAAGAATGCTGCACTTAGAGGTGGATTAGCCACTTGAGCCATTGCACCTCTCTGTTCTAGCCCAAGACTTCTGAAGAAGGACCTTCAAGGACTAACCCAGGAGGAAAGAATCAACACTGACACCCCACATCCTCTCCCATGAGCCCACTGCATACCAGGGGACCACCCCTGAGGGTGACATGGCAAGGCATGCCTAAGGCTGCTGGCTTCTTACCAACACACACTCTCCGTACTGCACATTATGGATGCCGACAGGGATCAAAAGTCACAGGTCAAGGGCTGGTGACACAGTAGACATACACTGGGCCTCTGAAGGAAGTATGCTACTAAAACCAGGATGGTCATCCCATTACCCATTTCCAGCCTGTCAGCTTTGCTTGGATGAAGGGACCAACGTAATTTAGGGAGGCAAAGTATCAGCCCAGAGGCAGAGGTCACCCAAAGAGGAGTGGGACTCCAAACAGGTTCTGCTTGCCACCGATAACCCCACAAACTGCCATGCAAGGCCAGGGAAGGTAGAGCATGGCCCAATAGCCAGAGAACGATGGGGTGTCCAGGCTGTTTAACCACAGGAACTTTCTTCTTAGTTTTGGAACATCTCAGGATATGAAAGACTGGACAAAGATGACCTGGCTAACCCAGCACATCCCATGGAACTACCCCCGAGGCCAGGCAGGGAGCCAAGGGCAGGCAGTGCAATGTTACCTGGACAAACAGGTAGATGAGGAGGCAGCATAAAGCCCTAAAGGGGCTTTCGATGGCTTGTAGCTCTTCCTTAGAGGAGGAGAGGTTGAAACAGGCCAGCAGGGTCTCCAAGCGCTGAGCCTGAGCTTCTGGCTCTTGGTTCAGCCATAACAGTTTCAAGCTAGGCGTTCCCCCTAGTGAGAAAAAGGAAAACCCCACTTGTTATTCTTCTTCACAGCGGCAAGTTATAATTCAATTCCTCTGAAATACAATGAGTGGAAATGAATCTCTTCCTTCCTGGCACACGTGGGCCTTTTAAGCTTGAAGGAGCCAAGGGCGTGAACAAGAACACAGCTTCCAAAGAATCATAACAAAAGGCCAGCACTTAGGCCTTCCTTCCTCCCCCTCCTTCCCAGTGGCTCAGCTCTGGGGGACACAAGGGGATGCCACTCCTCCAAGTTGGCCCTCTGCTGTCAGAACACTTGCCCAGCATTTGCCTCCAGGATGGAGCCAAGAACCATGCAGCTGGCACCTGTAATCCCTTAAACCTATGGCCTGCAAACTCTGGTGTGCGGAAGCCAGCACAGACACTCTGACGGATGCAGGGTTCCAGGGGCCAGTGCCAACCCCATGGCCCAGAGAAAGACCTGTGCAGACCCAGAACTAGTAAATGAGCACAACCCTACACCGAGCGTCCAGCATCCCCTTTCTGTAGCTGACATACACATGCAGACAGAGACCTGGATGAAGATGCACAATGCAAGCTCAGGGCAGCCATGGGAGCAGGGCTGACTGGAGGCTGCCAACCACAGGTGGCTGTCAGGCTATCAAGCTCTGCTTGTGGCTGACAAGCTCCTTCCCTGCTTATGGCCTGGGAAAGCAGTCAAGGACTACCCAAGGCCTTGTGACCCTGCACCCACATGGGAGACCCAGGAGAGGCTCCTGGCTCCTGGTTTTGAATATGTGCAGCTCAGGCTATTGTGGCCACTAGGGGAGTGAATCACCAGACAGATGATCTTCCCCTCTGTCTCTCCTCCTCTCTGTATATCTGACTTTAGCAGGTTAACAGGTTAACAGGTTAAAACAGGTTAACAGCAACTGGATGTGTATCAGGGAGGCAAAACTCACCAAAAAAGGGTGTTAGCTTCTATTTGACCCTTTGCAAAGTTTGCAAAGTCGGTTACATAAATAAGTACTTGAAAGGCAATTTTAACCAAAGGTAGACATTCTGAATTTTTAGTTTTTAATATAACCACCAGTCCATTTTCAGTGTACACACAGTTGTGAAGTCCTTGTCTTTTGCTTGCTAACACTTAAGAAATTTATACAGATGAGGTTCATGGAATGTATTAGAGTCAACCTGGTGGGCAGTCAGCCATGGCACATGCTGGCCCTGGCACCCAGGAAAGACACTCAGATTGGAGGGAAAGAAACAGATTGGCCAGCCATGTGGCAGCGCCTTCTCAGCCCTGCTGGCTCCCCAGGGTCAAGCAGGATGGACAGACAGGTGCTGCCTCAGTGGGATCAGCAGGAGGTCATCAAACATCACAGTAAGTAGGTTCTCAGGTCTGAGCACATTCGTTTGGTCAGAAGCTGTAGGACTGTGGCCCAGCAATCTGCATTCAATGCTGACAGCTCTGCCAAAGCTGAAGGTCCCTCAGTGAAGGGGTTGGGGAGTCACCCTCATGGGCAGAGACACCTAGAGAGGACAGCTGCTAAAGGGACCCGTGGATGAGCAAGAGACCACATAAGACCATCAGCAACTACACTATTTTCAAAGTCAAAATCTACACTCAGTCAAGAATGTTATGGAAGGAGCACTGTGGCACAGCAAGCTAAGCCACCTCTTAGGGTGCCTACAGATCTCATCAAAGAGTCTGGTCCCAGTCCCAACTACTTGGCCTCCAAACCAGCTTCCTGCTAAAGAATACTGGGAGGCAGTAGTGATGGCTGAAGCACTGAGGTCTGGGACCCCAAGATGACAAGCCCAGATTGAGCTCTGGGATCCTGGCTTTAGCACAGCCCCATCTCCGCTGCTGTGGTCATTTGGAGAATGACCCAGAGGGTTGGGAGAACCAGTTTCTCTTTTTCTTTTTAAAATAGATGAAAATAACATAAAACAGAAAGTTATGAAAGCCTGTATATGCATGAACTTCTCCAGAAGATACAAATCCAAAACACTGCAGGAACATGTTGCATGAGCAGAGTGTCCTACCATGGACAGTGCTCCCTATGACACTGCAAAAACCTTCCTCACAGGGGTTTTCCTCTCATTCATGCAGCACCTGTTCAGTGATTGACTTTTCAGCTCAGAGATTTAACAAAGGAAGTAGGGCCTGGCGCAGTGTCCCAGTGGCTAACTCCCCACCTTGAATCCGCCAGGATCCTATATGAGTACCAGTTCCTGTCCTGGCTGCTCCACTTCCCATCCAGCTCCCTGTTTGTGCCCTGGGAAAGCAGTGGAAGAAACCCTGCACTTGTGACGGAGACCAGGAAGAAGCTCCCGGCTCCTGGCTTCAGATTGGCTCAGTCCCAGAACCTGCGGATCAAAGATCTTTCTTTCTCTATCTCCCTTCTCTCTGTAAAATCTGCCTTTCCAATAAAAATAAATAAATCTTTGGAGAAAGAGAGAAAGAGATCTTCCATCTGCTAGTTTACTCTCCAAAGGGTTGGGTCAGGCTGAAGTCAGGGCCCACAAAGTCCATCTGGGGCTCCCACATAGAGGACAAGAGCCCATGGACCAGCTTCTGCCTTCTCAAATGCATTTCCAGGAAGCTGGGCTGGAAGCAGAGCAGCTGGTTCTGGAGCCAGGGCTGTGACACTGACACTGGCTTACCTCAGTGGGCCTCACTGGTCCAGCTGTGAAATTTCTTTCTTCCTTCCTTCCTTTTTTTCTTTTCTTTTCCCTTCCTCCCTCCCTCCCTTTCTTCCTTTCTTTTTTTCTTTTCCCTTTCTCTTTCTTTCTTTTCTTTTCTCTCTTCTCTCCTTCCTTCCTTCCTCCCTCCCCTCCCCTCTCCTTTCCTTTTTCCTTTCACATTTCTTCATCATTTCCATTCAAAACTCAGATATACAGATAGGAGGAGTGCCAGACAGCAATATCTTCCATCTAATGATTCACTCCCCAAGTGACCACAATGGCCAGTGCTATGCTGATCTGAAGCCAGGAACCTAGATCCTCCTCTGGGTCTCTGACATGGGTAAAGGATTGCAAGGCCTTGGCCCATCCTCAACTACTTTCCCAAGTCACAAGCAGGGAGCTGGATAGGAAGGAGGACTGCCCATATGGGATCCCGGCGCGTTCAAGCTGAGGACTTCAGCCGCTAGGCCACGGCACCAGGCCCCAGCTGTGAAATTTCTGAAGGACTGCTTAGTTTAGTTTTCTTCTGTTAATAAACACTCTAAAAATACCCAGCTGCCTCTGGTGTGATAACCTGGGATGGCTCAGACACAAATGCAAAAGAAGTTGTTAGGAATAAAGGAGTGTGTGTGTGAGCATATACACAAGCATGTGAGCCTACTGTGTAAGCACATGAGTGTGCACACACGTGAGAGCATCTGTGACTTGCATGTGTGTAGATGACAGTGAGTGTGAACTTTGCTCAGGACTGCAAGGCAGCTCACACCATCTAGTTTAAAAGAGAACACTGCACAAGCTCACAGTCTCATATGCACTTGCTCCCATTCTCTGACATACACACACCAGCATGTACACACAAACACACACACAGTGAGGAAGGATGCTGCCCGAAAGACAGACTAGGGAAGCAGAGACTGCTCCCATGCACCATGGGCACCTGAGGTGCAGTCAGTAAGAACTGAGACTCAAATGAAACTCTGGTGCTCTAACGTGACAGCGACCTGTTAACCACCTGTCGTACGACTCTAACATGTACATGGAGCACGTGATTTGGCAAAGCTTCATACTCTTCTCACAAATGGGAGAGAACAATTGAGTTGCCCCCCACGCAGCTTGGCTGCTGACAAAATGATCTAGAGACTGGCACTTCATGGAGTGCATATACTCTACACATGGAAACTTCTGAGATCTGCTAAAACTCCCTTGGTCTGCATGCTTCAAGGGCTCATCAGAAAATCTTGAGTAGGCTGACAGAGTGTCACGCCAAAGCATTCCTATGTGTCCCAGGTAGCTACCGGGATGGGAGGGCTGTCTCACAGCACAGGGTGCAGGCAGGCTGGATGTGAGGTGTGCAGACACGCACCTCTGATGAGGTATGCCCTCCTTAACATCTCTCAGATACACTGTAAGACAAATCAAGTGTACACACACAGTATGTGGGCCAGAACTGGTAACACACATGGAACTCAAGCATGGCCATGAGCCTCCCAAGCAAGGACTTCCTGTCTCTCCAGCTGCTATAGCCTGGGTAGCTCCTGACAACTCAGACCCATGTTTCTAGGTGGTGAAGGCTCAAACACTGATTGGTGGAGAGCACCTCTTCAGACTGTCTTGGAGGGGAAGGGTAGGGAGCCCCCTGGAAGCCAGGAGTACCAGCCAGTAACTGGATCTCCACGCATCTCATGAGTGATGAGGGTCTCAGATGGACACATGCAGCACACATTCACATGATGGTGACTAGTGCAACATTTCCTTTTCTCTGACTGGGCAATCATAATTCTTCCTATGTCCCATTTTTTTAAAAAAAGATTTACTCAATTTTATTGCAAAATCAGATATACAGTGAGGAGGAGAGACAGAGAGGAAGATCTTGCACCCACTGATTCATTTCCCAAGTGGCTGCAAAGGCCAGACCTGAGCCAATCCGAAGCCTGGAGCCTCTTCCAGGTCTCCCATGCAGGTGCAGGGCCCCAAAGCTTTGGGCCGTCCTTGACTGCCTCCCAAGCCACAAGCAGAGAGCTGAATGGGAAGTGGGGCTGCTGGGATTAGAACTGGCGCCCACACGGGATCCTGGGCATGCAAGGCAAAGACTTTAGTCACCAGGCTACCGTGCTGGGCCTTCCATTTTAAGTGCCTTAATAATTTTTTCCTTTGATATTCTTAATCCCTTCCACTTTGGTAAAAAATGCGTTTTTTTCTGCCACTCAAGAATGCAAGCATATAGTCATACAACGTGGTTGGAGAAAAGTCTTTAAAAGTAACCCAGAGACTCACTGAAGAGCTCATTAAGCGAACCTATCTTTGCAGCAAAGTAGAACCCCCACCCATGGTGAACCTCAACCGCAGGGGAGAAAGTGAGCCTTGGCCCTCTGGGCAGCAACAGCACCTCTTGTTTGTCTCCTTGACTGAAGGGAAATAGCTAGCCTGTCTTCCTGTGTGGTCCAGAGTCACTCAGGGAGCTTCCTTGTGGATTCTGACAATCACCTACATTTCAGTCTTAGGTTTCCACTTCCTGTCACCAGCAGTGTTTCATAGAGCCCAGCTACTGGCTAGCTGGCTGCTGGCAAGGCTGTGCCTGCTGAGCAGGGCTTCATGTGTGCCTCCAGATCCTTCCCAAGGCAGGAGAAAGGCTTGGCACCCCAAGCACAGCATCTACATACACTGGGAGACCCTCTGACATTCATGCGACTTACAGAATTGATCAAACACTAATTTATGACACAATTAATAGAACAAATCTGAGGGCTGTAATAATCCTTTCCCATATTATTTTTGGATAGATACTCTGATATTCTTATAGAAAGTGCCTACTTTTATCATAACAAATGTCAATGTATTTAAATCTTGCTTTCTGGGCCAAGTGCAGTGGCTTAGCAGCTAAAGTCCTTGCCTTGTACGCACCAGGATCCCATATGGGTGGCTGGTTCTAATCCCGATAGCTCCACTTCCCATCCAGCTCCCTCCTTGTGTCCCGGGAAAGCAGTTGAGGACAACCCAATACCTTGGGACCCTACACCCACACGGGAGACCTGGAAGAAATTCCTGGCTCTCGGCTTTGGATAGGCATAGCACCAGCCGTTGTAGTCACTCAGGGAGTGAATCATCAGACAAAAGATCTTCCTCTCTGTCTCTCCTCCTCTCTGTATACCTGACTTTGCAATAAAAAATACATAAATCTTTAAAAAAAAAAAACTTAAGGGGTCTCAGGACGGGGGCGTCTCATGCCTGGATCCCAGACACCATCCACCATGTGCACGTGGTGAGCTGTCCCTGGGTCTGCCTGGCCTGGGGGGGGGGCCTGCTCCCTTGGGGTGAGTACACCGAGGGGGGAGGTCTCTGTGACTGGGCAGGTCCAGGGCCCATCCACAGCCCTCATCAGGCAGTGAATGGGATTGGGGAGGGGCATGACCCTGGGCCTGGGAATTTAAACTTCTAGCAGCCTCCCGGCTGCTGGTGGGTCTCAGGACGGGGCGTCTCATGCCTGGATCCCAGATGCCAGCCACCATGTGCATGTGGTGAGCTGTCCCTGGGCGGCCATTGCACCATATGTTGCCAAGCTCTACCTGCTGGCCACCCGGCCGGGGAGCTCTGGGGTTTGGGTTCTTTGAATCGCTGCTTAGGTAGCTCCAGGTTGAACCCATTGTGCTTATAGAATGTGAAACAATCACAAAGATTCCCAACGACAGTAACTCTTCCTTTGAAAAACTTGTAATCACTGAACAATGTTGACCACCAAATACCAGTCCATGCAAAAGCCATGGCTCGGGGCTTGTCCTGCAGAATTATATCATGTTACCTGACATGATGATGGATCAGGAGAAGGGTCACCTTAAGCAGGGCCATTACATTAACTAGCACTTGAGAACCATAATGGGGGTAGATTCTGTGAGGGATATCTGGGCCAAACCCTGTGGAACTTTTAGCCCCACTGGTTAGCTCATGAGTTGGGGTGGTGATGGACTAAGTTAGGTGTGACCAAGGAGCCTGCCATGAATCACAGATAAAGGAGCCCCCAACAGTCTGGAATGGTCAGGGCAGTAGCACCCAAATGTGCATCCTGAATAGGGTGTGGGGTGGGCCGGGCTGCAACGGTCACAGCTCATACAAGGCACCTGAGTACCAGCTTGCCCATAAGTGCATGAAATCACACTTACTGTAAAAATGCTTGTGGAATGAGGCAGAGTGCATCCTTTAGTATGTCTGTGTCCCTAGCTGCCTGTGGACATTTGTGTGAGGTACGTCAGGAAACAATTACAAGCCAAATTTATTTTGGTGCAAACATTTAGAATTTTGCATACCGGAAGGGAATAAGGGGTGGTTCCTTTGCTGGACAACTACTCCCACTGGAGAGCATGAGCTGGGATGGGGGCAGACCAGGCTGAGCAGGGCTACAATACCTGTACACCTCATGTGGACTAGATCAGGGAAAAGCCAGGCTGGGCTGATTATTCCTACCGGTGCAAACAAAATTAGAGTGGGTGAGGGTTGTTTGGGCTTAGCAACAGCATCAGCTGGCAGAAGCTGGCACTGGGACCTAGTTCTGTCAAGTCAAACCACAGAACTACTTGGAGACTGCATAATCCGGGAGTGGGAGAGGCCTGGGAGGGAAATAGTGGGCTCCTCCCTCTTGGGTTACCACTTCTACAGGAGGGCACAAAAATCAGGACAGGGGCTGGAGTGGAATGGGGCGTGGGACAGACTGGACTAGTCTCTACACATACTGGCAAACCAGGGTAGGGGGCGGGCCTGGTGGGGATTATTGTGGGTTGCTCCAACTAGGCTGCAGCTCCCACTTGTTTATGCGAGGGCCAAGAATGTGCTGGGCAGAACCAGGCTGGACTGCAACACCCATTGGTTCCAGTGGAAGTCGGGGCTGAAAACAGAACCAACCCAGTGATCACAACCACCAGCTGATCAGGGCCATGGACTGAGCCGGGCCCTGTACTTGCTAGTACATTCAAGAATCTGGTCTGAGAACACCTCAGACAAAGTTTCTTTGGAGATCTCCCCAATTGAAATGCTGGACTCAGAACCCTAACCAAGAAAAGAGAGAAGACAGAACAGGTCAATCAACCATCTCAGCTATATGTTGGCAGTGAAATACAGGGTAAACGGAGACTATAATGGACTATGTCAATCAGTGGATTCTTCAAAGACCTCATAGTGCTTGGAGTGGCAAGATTGGCAGTGATTCATAACTGGTGAACTATCAAAACTACTTGAGCAAGAACCTCGGAGCATCCCCCACACGCGGGACCTGGGGAAGGTGGGAAACTGGGTGGGCCTTCTCCCTTAATACCCCTCCCTTCAAACATGAAGGAAACAATATGGAAATAATAGTCTTACCCACTTTCCTATAGCCCTTGAACCTTTTTACCCCAATTAACTATGTGAAGATTGTCAAAAAAAATGCCAAAAAAAAAAACCCTTAAAAAATAAATCTTGTTTTCTGGATGTGAGTCCTTGACTGACTAAAAGGATACAACAATCCCTGTGGCACCCTTCTCAACCTCCCTCCCATGAATGCAACTTGTAGTGCAGTGCTCAGCACCCCTGGGGTTGGGTCAAGGAGACTGTGCCACGGAGAATGCAATGTGCTCTGAAAGAAGTCTCAATATTTCAGGAAACACATGTGCTCTCTCAAACAGTGTGCTGGGTCCCTACAAGTAACCCTAGGCTCACCCAGCACCTGTGTGGGCACCACCTGACAGATACTGAGGGTCGCAGGGGACTCAAAGGAATCTATTCATAGGCTGTTTTTCCTTCTTACTCACCATATTCTAAAATACTACCCACAAAATTAGAACTCATTTTTCCAATTACAGTAAGGCTTACTCCTCTCCCCTTTCCAGTTCCACAACTCAGCACAAGATTCTTTCAGAAACAAAAGCTGTGTCCTGTGAACACAGCTGATCCAGTGCGGCTTGGATCAGCAGTGTGTGCTGAGTGACTGTGGGTCTGGGAGCAGACCCCATGGTTTGAGAGCTTAACTAGACACAAACTCTCACTCCCTCTGGGCCAGGTCTGGAAGGAAAGATGCCTGTGTGAGTTCTGGGAAAACCACGCCTGGCCTTACATGTCACCAAAAACACATGTTGTTTGCATAGACTGAGGCTGGCTGTACCTGGCACAGTCATCTGCAGAGGCCTGACGAGGTCAGGGTGCTTCAGTGGGTTTCCGGGGTACACGAACCACTCCTTGACAGTCGGGCCGGTGCTGGTGCCATCTGAGAGAAGACAGCTGAGTCAGTGGTTATCCTGGGGTGGGCCCGACTCTGCTAAGCACTCCCGAGACCAGGTCCCTGCTCCTTCTCATGGGAACCGCCCCCTCCAGAACCAGCCTGAGGGTCCACACAGCCTTCTTCCCCCTCCCTGCAACGCTCCAGACAACTTACAGAGAAAGCAGCTGGAATATGGGAGTCCTTTTTGCTCTTCAATGCACTACTTCAAACAGCTTCAAACTCTGTTAGACTCTCAAAGAACAAGTTTGCGCCATGTGCTGGATGAACAGCTGCCCTGAGAATGTCTGACCTCAGCTCTTTCACGCCACAAAGCTGCTGTGCAGGCAATGGGCTGACCAGGTGTTCTCATGCAACCCGCTTCAATGTCCTCAACAGGACTGTCTGCCACCTGTCCACACTGGCTGCCAGGGGCCTCGGACTCTATCCCCAGAGACCACTCTGCCACTAGCCTTTTTGTCTCTGAAGCCTCTTGCTGGGTGCTTTCATAGTCAGGCCGCTCTGGCCCAAAACCCTGTGCTGCTGTGTCAGAGTCCACTCCTTCAACAGGAGTTTTCCTGCTCATTTCCTCAGTGGCCAGGTCTGCCGCCTGGTAGTAAAACGCACTGGGTGCTGCTCACTCCTGTGCCTGGCTTCCCTCTGGCCAAGCCCTTCCTTGTCCCCTTCAGAGCTTCCCTAACTAATCTCTACATTCCATCCTTTTCAAGCTGTCCTGGTGACTCCACACCCTGGCAATGCCCCCACCCCTTGCCTGAGCTCTGGACACCCATGCTAGAACTAGCCCAACAGTGGCTGGCTCTCACCAGTCACAATAGGCTAACTTCTCACAAGGCCTTACAGCCTGACGAGCAGACCACAGTATTACCTTCTCATCACACTTTTTTTTTTTTAAGATTCACTTATTTTCATGGGAAAGGCAGATACACAGAGAGGAAGATCCTCTGTCTGTCCACTGGTTCACTCCCCAAGTGGTTGCCACATCTGGGGCTGAGCCAATCCAAAGCCAGGATCCAAAAGCTTCTTTCTGCTCTCCCATGTGGGTGCAGGGTCCCAAGGCTTTGGGCCATCTTCTGCTGCGTTCCCAGGCCACAAGCAGGGAGCTGGATGGGAAGTGGGGTTTCCAGGATTAGAACCAGCAACCACATGGGATTCGGCGGATCCAAGGTGAGGATTTAGTCACTAGGCTATCACTTCAGGTCCTCACAACCTGTTTTCATCCTGTCGACTCCTATGCCTAGTGCAGAATCCCTGGGCCATATTGGCATGTCAGAACTAGCAGTCAGGCTGCGGGTGTCTGGAGACTCGAGTGAAAAGTGGGGTTGACTCACATCTCTTGCTCCGGACAGCCTGCACAGTTCCCAGGTTCTCTCATCCCAACTGCACACCTCTAGGTCTAGAACTCTGCTGCCTGAGCTCAGAGACCAGGTAGAGTGACACTGCCCTCACAAACCCCACCATGTTCACGTTGACCTGACAGCAAGAGTCTTTGGTTTCTGCTGCAAAGCCAGAGCAGATGCTTGTGAATTTACATTGCCAAGTACTCAACTCAGCCTTAATTTCACACAAAAACAAAACACAGAGTAGTTTTTACACAGTAAGCTAGCACCTGTTCTCTCTGCACTCCTCTGTTTGGCTAGCTGGAGCCAGCCACTGGAGAGACCTCATCCCCCACCCAGAGGGGCTCTGCAGCAGAAACCAAAGAGAAGGCAGACCTCAAGCTCCAAAGTAAAGCCTAAGAGTACAGGGCAACCAACCACCTGGCAGGATGTAGCGTCGCACCCTTCACAGGATCTAGAATGTTCCAGCATGCAATCCAAAACACCTGACACAGGAATAAATGAAAATATGTGGACCACCCTAACTATTAATACAGACAAGCCTAGTGGTTAAAGTCCTCCTCGCTTTGCACTTGCTGGGATCCCATACGGATACAGTTCTAATCCTGGCAGCCCTACTTCCCATCCAGCTCCCTGCTTCTGGTCTGGAAGGCAGTCAAGGACGGCCCAAAGCCTTGAGACCCTGCACCCATGTGGGAGATGTGGAAGAAGCTCCTGGCTCCTGGCTTCGGATCAGCCTACCTCCGGCCGTTGCGGCCATTTGGGGAGTGAATCAGTGGATGGAAGATCTTCCTCTCTGTCATTCCTCCTCTCTTTATAACTAAATTGACAATTAAAAAAATAAATCTTTAAAAAAAAAATGCTGAAAAGTCGACACTCCAGTAGACACAAGTGCCTTCAACTGACAATGAACTTTCACACTGACAATGAACTTTCCAAGTATCCAAATCAAGAGTGGACTACTGTACAAGTCACCAGACAGCACAGTGACACCAAGATTTTAACGCTCTTCTCTCAGGATCTAAGAATGAGTGAGCAGGAAAACAGTAAATGACTGAAAGAATCCTGGCAATACTTCCGCTGCAGACAGAACACTGGAGTGCAGACAATGGGCCAAGGAAACAACAGGAGGCAGTGAAAGGGCAGGCCATGGGTACAGAGCTCAGGCTGTACTCACACTGGAGGGCCTGGGTTCAAGTCTTGGCTCGGCTTTCAAATACAAATACAAGCACATGCTGGGAGGCGGCAGCAGATGGTGTGCATGCTCGGGTCCCTGCCACCCACAGGAGACCCAGACTCAACTCTTGCCTCTTTGACTTTGGCCTGGCCCAATTTCAACTGTAGTGGTCACAAGAGGAGTAAACCAGCAGATAGAAGAGAAATATTTTTAAAGCCTCAATAGCACTTTATTTTCATATCCTAAACATGTCTATTTCAGGTGAGAACCCAAAGAGTTGAATTTAATAGGAAAAAAGGAACTAACGTGCACTTATGAAGTTCAATTGAGCAGTTCTTGCTGTTGAAGTGCCAGTTTACATGGCTACTGAATAAACACAATAACAGAGCATGGAATTCTAGGTCAATCTCAGTAACAAGTCTGAAGACAGTTCTGAGCCAGCGTATGCACTGCTCTGTAAAACACAGAGTCAGGAGGAACTGAGCACAAATGTGCACTCTGACCAGAAGACAGGGAGCAGTGGAGAAAAGGACTTAGCTGGCCCCCCCAGGTTTCACACAGGTTCTTGCATCTGCTTTGAAATCAATTTGAACTTCTCTCTGTGCTGCAGTGCTTGGGCCAGCACCCGTGAGAGAAGGCAGAACCTGTGCAGTAAGGCCAGGAATCTGACGAGGACTCAACTCCATGGACTGGGTGCCCAGACTAGTGATGGTGGTTCACTTTAGGTTACAGAGATGCCTATTGCTGGAATGGAACACTGCTCAAATACAGTGCTATGTTTGGGGGGAAAATGGGCCCACTTGGGCAGATGGCCTGGACACTCCTGCTCTGTGATCCTGCTGACTCCCTAGCTGGACTGCGTTTCTCGTCAAGCCAAACCACGAAGCACGGAAGCAGACCCAATGTGCTGGGACACTGAGCAGCCCCCAAGCTGCCCCTCACAGTCAAGGGCCCTAACCATCTGGTTTTTTTTTTCTCTTTCCTTCCTTCTTCTTCTTCTTTTTTAAGATTTGCTCCAACCACTTTCTGCTGCCTCCTGAGGTACATGAGCAGAGATGCTGCAGCAAAAGTGGGAGCACTTAGACACGGGTGCAGGCACAACAGCCCTACCATGCCAGTCCAGCTCTGTCCTTGCTGGCACTCTAGGGTGGTGGCCCTTGCTGGTCCCCACTGCTAAGCACGGGGTAGAACACACATGCTTGTGGGAAAAAAATTCAAGCTCAGTTACAAACCTTCAGAGAAACTACTTACATTACAAAATATTATGTACCAGACTTTGTCAAACCACTTTATGAAAACCACGCTGAGGAGACTAGCAGACCCTCTCAGTCTAATAATAAACATGCCCTGTAGCTTACAGTGTAAGAGTTCACACTTTTAAAAAGCACAAACCCCTTCAAGGCATAGAAATCTGACATTTTACAGGAACAATGCATTCTTCTCCTAATGAAGAGTAACCAACTACTTGCTAATTAGATGGAGATGGCCCAAGGCACTTATCCCTAACTTTCCCACAGATCTCAGTGGGCTTCCCAGTACAGATGTCAGAGAAACAACCTGTTTCACTGTCTTTGTGTCCATCTGGCCAGCTCCTCTGAGTGTAGCTCCCAGGGGGTGTCCTGGCCAGAGGAGCCCCTGCCATCCTCACCTTCACTGCCCCCCAGCAAGAGGGAGTAAACACGCTGTCGCACGGGCCGGTAGATGAAGGCCTGGCTGGGCAGAGCCTGGTCCAGCTCATCCTCCAAGGTGTTGCTGCATTCGATCTCACCGCTGCTCACAATATTGTACACCAGGTAGCTTTCTCCTTGCACATGATGTGTTCGAGCAATCTGTGCAAATGTTAAACACAACTGATTGTATTGGGAACAAAACACTCACCTTCAGACTTTACCACAGCCTGTGTTTTATGGCATTCAGACACATAATTAGGGATGCACCATTGAAAGCCACGACATTAAGCCAGTATGGCATTTTCTTCTCAGTATCCAAGGTCTACAGCTGAATGCCCACTGCTCTTGTGGGCTGGGAGAGAAGTGGAGGATGGCCCGAGCTCACCATAGCTCACCACCCTGACGCCAGCAGCATCTCAGTATCTTGTCCACTAGATTTCTCAGTACCCAGGAGCTTGTGCCTTTACTTGTGTGGCCCGAAAAGGTCCCTCACTGACCCCACCCTCCATCTTCACCTGTACGTCTTCTTGGAAACAGGTCCTCACAACACCTGAATGGTGACCACCTCATGACTTTGCGTGCCTGTGTACACACAATAACCAATAACCCACAATAACCATGCTGAAGGGGCATCTTGACGGCTCTCTCTGACCTCCGCCCTTCCCAGAATGCTTCTCAGCCTTCCAGCTCACCACTCAGGCTCCCTCAGGGCCACCTTCTCCACAAACCCTTTGTTCTTTCTCAACCAAACTACACTCACTGCCTTAGGATTCACTGCCGTATCACAGCAGTCCTGTCTCACTTCCCCACCAAACTTTCACTTTTTAAAAGATTTATTTATTTGTATTTGAAAGGCAGATTCACAGAGCAAAGGAAAGATGCAGAAAGATTTACCATCTGCTGGTTCACCCCCAAATGGCCACAATGGCTAGAGCTATGCTGGTACAAAGCCAGGAGTCTTCTGGGCCTCCCAGGTGGGTGCAGGGGCCCAAAGTCTCGGGCCATCCTCCACTTCTCTCCCAGCCCACAAGCAGGGCACTGAATCAGAAACAGAGGGACATGAACCAATGTGCATATATAGAGTGCCAGCACTGTAGGCAGAGGGTTAACCTGTCCTCCAACTCCTGCCCCACTGACCTATTAAAAGTTTCCATTCACTCCTGCAAGTGTTCACTCCATGTTTATGTGCAGGGTTCAAAGGCCCAAAGGTCACGGGTGGGACCCATCTGTGGGGTAGTGGAGCTGGGTCTGCAGAGACCAAGAAGGTCACAGGGAGGCAGCACACAAACAGGATGGAGGCGGAGGAAAGTGAGGGGCCAGCTCAAGACAGAAGGGAGTGGAAGGATCAAGGGGCAGACAGCGGCCATGGCCTCCTTCCAGGCTCAGCTTCAGCCTCTAAAGCTGTGCATGAGAAATGGCAGCTGTAGCCATTGTACTTCCAGGCCCTGGTCTTCTGATGCTCAGGAGAGGGATCCTCAGGGCGGCAGTGAAGGTAGAGACCACATGGACAGTCACCCCTGGTTCAAAGGCTGGGGGCAGCCCAGCACAGTGCCCAATTGTGGGGTCCAGAGGGCCCCTGCCACTGTGAGACCCTCCCCTTCCTCATCCCCTCTACCAATAACTAACTATTATAGACACTCACCTAGGAGCTAGCACCCCTACAGAGAGCCAGTCTGCATGTGCTCCGAAACCACAAAGTACACTGGCACTAACCTAACTGGCTGGTCTATCACCAACACACACTTTCGCCCACCGTGCTTCAGGCACCCCAGTGGCCACATTTCTACTTGGGAGTCTGCTGCTCCCTTTGTCCAACTTCCCACAATTCCTCAGAAGTCCCTGGTCCTAACTCTGCAGTAGGTCCCGACCTGTGACTTTGAGAGGAAACGCCAGTCTGTGACACTGAATGAGCTAACCTGCTACGATGTCTGAACAGGGAGGTATAAGCCTGAAGGCAGGTGAGATTCCCAGTTCCATAGGAGAGGTCAGTACACGAGAGGACGGATGGCCTACGCCACAAGTGTGTAAAGGGTACCATTTCAAGATACGCCTGTGCTGCACAGGAGGGTGTGCACTGCTGAGAAACCAGAACCAGGCCCTGTCCCTCAGCACTGTGAGACGATGGACACACAGCAGCATAGGAGACAAGCAGGGTGAAGCAGAAGCAGACAAGGACTGTCCTCGTGGGGGAAGAAGAGGGACACTGGAGCCAGGGGCTGCATGCCATGGCTGGTCAGTGCTACTGGTTCTGCCCTAAGAGCAAAAGCACAGGAAAGGGCAGAAGTGTGTGCACAAAGAACTCTTTAGAGAGCACCGCTGCAATCCAATGCAGCATGGACAGGGCAGTGGGGACAGGACACACTGAGGGGCAGTTCACTAAGCACATCTATCAAAAGGTAGGGAGAGTGTTTCAGACAAGTTGGAGGGACAAGGTCTGTAACTGTGTGGCCACAGCAAACAGGGCCACTCAGAGCACTGGACAGAGTAAGAGGCTAGGGTTACATGCTTAGTCCAATTTTGGTCTGGAGAGAAGACTTTGGGGCTCTCAGGAGGCTAACTTACAGGGACCGAGTGAGTGCGACACACCACCGACATGCCACACCTTTAAGGCTCCAATGACCCCATTCTTTGCCTATTCAAAAAAGTCTTGGTCTCATTCAATATTGGTTTATCTTTTGAGGGAACCTTTTCCTGTCCTGAACCAATGCTCTTTTCTGCATGGTCATGTAATGACATCAAATGTCAAGCATGTTGTGAGGGTATGAACCATGACAGTGTCAGACCTGGGCTCGACCAGAACAGGCAGTCAATATACAGTCCCCAGAGACACCAGTGGACAACATTGGGGCTCGATCAGAATAGGCAATCAATACATAGTCTCTAGGTTGACTCCAAGGATACATGGTGTCAGATTTGGTGAGCACACCCACCTACCTGTAAGATTTCAGGGTCTGAAACCATAGTTACTGGTTGCCTTATTTCATACCCCATAGCCACGGGGTCTTCTTGTTTGACCTCCAGATTTGTACTTATGGATGCTTCTTGCATAAATTCTGGGCCTGTTCCTATAGGCAACTCTTGCTTGACTTCAGGCTCTGTACACATGGGAACTTGTTGCTTGGACTCAGGGTCGGTGCACATGGGAACTTCCCGCTTTGACTCGGGATCAGTACATATGGAAATGTCCTGCTTAGAATCAGAATCTATACACATGGGAACTTCCTGTTTGGAATCAGGCTCTGTACACATGGGCACTTCCTGCTTGAACTCAGGCTCTGTACACATGGGCACTTCCTGCTTGAATTCAGGCTCTGTACACATGGGAACTTCCTGCTTGACCTCAGGCTCTGTACACATGGGAACTTCCTGCTTGACCTCAGGCTCTGGACCCACAGATATTACTTGCTGATTCAAAGTTATTTCACCTCTGAATTTTTGAGAAAACCATGGAGAGTTCTGTCCTGGCAAAAGATATGATGCCACTCCTTTATAAAAAAGAGCTTTATTTGGTCCCAAAGGTAGCATCTCCTCTAAGGCTTTCTCCCCTTGATGCACATGAAGGACTTTGGATATGTGGTCTGACACCGCTAAGATCATGTTAGCTTTTTTGTTGATATTCTCTTTTACAGAGGTGTAAGAAGACAAGCATCTGTAACGAAAGCTTTCAAACATGCCCTCGGGAACCACATCATTGCCAAGAAGGCAGGCCAGCAGAGGGAGGTCCATTACCTGGAGACCCAGGCTCTCACACAGCTTCTCCCTGCACAGCATGACGGTGCTGAGGGTCTCCAAGCAGAGCTCGCTGATGGACAAGTAGGGGCACGTGTCATAGATGAGATAATCTGTGTCTTCTCCGAGAATCCCAAGGCAGTTATGCTGCAAACCATAGGAAGCCACCTCGTAGTCTGCCTCTTGTAAGGAGCACAGGGTTTCCTGGCCCAGTGTCTTCAGCGCAAAGCGTGTAAATATGGCCAAGCCTGAGGGGATGAAGAACATGTTCCTGCCTGGCTGCTCCCTATGTGTCTTGAGGTGATGGAAGATCCTAGCTATCTCCCTGCCGTTTCTGAGCCTCCTTCTCACCCACTCATCTCTCTTGCCCTGTTCCACCATTCCATCAAAGAAGAAAACCAACTTGATGCCAACTGCTGTGAAGGTTTTAACAAACTCTCGCAAAGCAGAAAAGTATTCTCGCCATTGGCCACCGCAGATCCAAGACTCCGGAGTGTACCAGTACCTGAGACAGCACATGGCGTCAACCACAATGGTGGGAATACATCCCGGGTACCTGGTGCGATGTTTCTCAGCCAATTCCTTGAGATCCACCACTGTGCATACATGTGGGCAGGTGCTTCCCACAAACCCCTGCAGACCTCTCACCCCCATCACTGAGAACCTGGGAAAGGATCTAGAAAAAAAAAAAAAAAAGAAAGCAGCAATTAGTGTGTAATCCCAGGCACAGCCAAACAAGACAGAATTGAGCACCCACAAGTTTTTAGTCAGAACACAGGAGGGATCTTCCCACATCTTATGATGAAGCAATTGTCTTTTAAGATGGTTCTCAACCAGAGACACATAGGGGTTAAGTTTTCCATCCAGGAATTCAAACACAAGTTAGTTTTAAAATCCTAAAACATAAGGTGAAGTGGGCAACATGAATGACCATCAAAATAATTTTTCTGAGTTAAAAATGCCAGACACATTGAGTACCATTGTGATACAACTTGCAGAAGACTGGAGTATATAAACAGCTCACCTATAGTGGCAGAAAGCAGTCCAGTGGCTACCCGGGTACAGGCACATGACAGGGAGGGTGCGAGGGACACTTCTGGGGTGACAAATAACTAAGCTCTTTGTGGCCAATGCTCCACAGATGTCTCTGAAACACACTGAACTGTGCATGGCAGGAGTGACGGACATCTCAGAAAAGGTATTGTTAGAAAAATACACAGAAATCAATTGTGCCAGATATCATGACACCTGAAATTGACATGGGTTGACTTCAAATGAAAAACTGTTCAACCTAAAACTTAGATACACACATCAGATACACAGGCACTGTACACAGGGGACATCCTTGCACACAAGAAGTTTTTCAAGTGAGCAATAACAGGAGAAAATCCACGAGGACATCTATGTTAATGGCCAAATTTTTTCAGGCCTTCATGCCCTTCATCAACACAACATAACAAACCATAGGTTCCTCAGAGTTGGGATCCAAGTTTGCGTCAATCATGTGTCCCTGTTACAGCACATCAGCTTTAATCTCTACAACAACCCTGCAGAGAAACCACATGCTCTGAGACAAGACACTTCTAAGAATCTGTTGATTGCTGGTGCCCATGAGCATCACACTTTGACACATGGGACTATTAAGCTAACGGGTCTACTCAGTGCATGCATACAGCGCAGCACAATGATCAGTAGAAAGTTCATCCTGGAAACATAGACCAGGCCTCCTAGTTGTGAGCATCTGAGCCATGAGCTGGTTCTGCACCTTGGATCCCTGCGCGGGGGACCCTAAGTTCAAGAAGGATACACTCGGGCCCAGCGGCATCGCCTAGCGGCTAAAGTCCTCGCTTTGAACACACCGGGATCCCATATGGGCTCCGGTTCTAATCCCGGCAGCTCCACTTCCCATCCAGCTCCCTGCTTGTGGCCTGGGAAAGCAGTCGAGGACGGCCCAAAGCTTTGGGACCCCGCACCCGTGTGGGATACCTGGAAGAAGTTCCTGGATCCTAGCTTCGGATCGGCATAGCATTGGCCGTTGTGCTCACTTGGGGAATGAATCATCTGACGGAAGATCTTCTTCTCTGTCTCTCCTCCTCTCTGCATATCTGACTTAATAAATAAGTAAATCTTAAAAAAAAAAAAAAAAAGGCTACACTCTCATTTCTAGCACAGTAAGTGGTGGAAAGGCTTTGGAAAGGGAACACAACACAAAAAAGTGGTCAGAGTGGACCCAAAACATTCAGATGCCAGAAGTGGCAAGCTTTGAGGGATTGGCAAATCACAGGTCAACCATGGGGAGTTGGGGTCTGTAGGGTGAAAACTCCGCTTCTCTTCTTTCCCTATGCTAGGTGCCATTCTCAGATCTCCCCCTTACAAGTCAACAGTTCCCAGAGTCACTGACTGGACTGCCTACAACCCAGCAAGTGCCACCATGTACCATGGAGGTGGAGCTGGTGCGGGCAGGGGGTAAGAAGTTGCTGACACATGCCCTTGTTAGTCAGTAGCTGGATCCTGACCACCAAGGATTTTTGTTTCAAGCATGTTTTATTAAAACCTTAAATTTCTCAAAATACTATTCTTAGTTTTCAAAATCAGGCTCAGTCCACTGCCTTGATTTCACTCAAACACCCAAATGGTCCCCCTTTCTCATCCAGTGGCAGGAAGCGGCCTGGAGCAGCAGGCTCAGCTGCAGTTCATCTCCCACTCCAGTTCTCGGAGCATGGGTTCAGTGTACATCTCACTGACATTTGCAAAGAGCAACCAGGAGAACCTGGACCTGGCTGGGCAGTGGCACATGCTCAAAGCTCCTTAGTGCCTTTTCCACCCCCAACCTCTCCCATGTAGGCAGGGCAATATGGGGATAAAATGGGTGGAACAGAAAAGGCAACACCACATCATTTTTAAGTGTACTTATGCATTTTCATTCTTATCGAAAAAAAAGAGACAGAGAGATCCTTTACCCCCTGGTTCATTCCCCAAATGCCTATCACAGTTAGATCTGGACCAGGCTCCAGCTATTAGGGAGAATTCAATCTGTGTATTTAAGCATGGGCAGGGACTCAGCTACCTGAGCCATCACCTGGGAGCATGTTACTCATTACTCATATCTGGGTCAGCTGAGAGACCCAGCTCCGCAATATGGAATGTAGGCATCCCAAGTGGTGCCCTGATGGTACAGCAATGTGTATCCCATGTCACTACAAATATCAGATCATTTCAGCTGGGAGTCTTTACAAGAGCACAGGCAGGGGATTTTACATTTTCTACAGCTAGTCATTATAGGATGACATACACACACACACAATTCATTCTACCTACAAATCGTATAGCAAATCTGCACTGTCTATGTACCACAGTCTGGGACCTCTCTTGGGCAATGGTATCTTCTTAGCCACACTCAACACCCAGCACAGAGTAAGGCACAGAGGGGCAAAGAAGGTACCAATTAGCTCAAGACTGCTAAACTCCAAATATGATGTGGCCAACAGAATCGTGGCACTCAGGAGGTGAACAAAGGATTTGAGAAATAGCACCTACACACATAAGTGCAGCTGAGGCACCGGGCTCCAGGGCACCAGGACACAAGCAAGTGGAGAAGAGGACCAAGAAACCTAGAATTCCCTTTACTCAAATCTCTCAGCCTTACTGTCTGTAGAGATCAACACAGGCTGCCTTGGCACAGATGCCAACAGATGCTGTCCAGGTTGCTGGACACAGAAACCAGTTCAAAGTCCACACAAGGGTAGCAGCATTCAGTGGCTGTAGCTGATTGGAGACATACCCAGCCAAGACTCCAACAAACAGGTGCCACCTGGTGAGGCAAGAGGGAAAGGCACCCCCACAGCCTTACATGAGAAACAGTGAAGCCATAGATACTGCAAGAGCCTTCACCAGAAAAGGCAGCTGTCTGCTCAGGAGCCCTGGACCAGCATCTTCATTCTCACCAGGCTACGTATTAACATTGGGAAATATATTTACTTGTAAAAACTTTCTCATTTAAAAAATTGTTCTTACAGCAAATTGAGAGTACAGAAATAAACCTTAAACTATTGTAATGTCGTCTTACAGAGACAATCACGTCACACACTTCAAGCCTCACTGCTTATATCTGTGGGGGCACCCTAACCCTGAAGTCAACTGGACCTGTTAGCACTCCGCACAGTGCCACCACCAACAGAGATAGGACATGGACAGGACAAGAGTGATGGACCCCACCACTGAGCACTCAGGTGCAAATATGAATGTAGGCCATGTTCTTGTTCAGAAATCTTGGAAACACATCTTTGTGGTGAATCTCAGACACCAAGCTATGGAGCTAAGGTACAAGCACGTGCTGGCAGCTCTCTCCAGCACTGAACCATTTATAAACTGTTAGCTCAGTTTTCTTCAACAACACAGGATAATTTTATTTGAAAATAAACTTGGCTTATTCATCTAGCAAGTAGTAGTCTATGAGGCATGACAGAGGACACTAAGGTATGAACCAGATAAGGCTCCTGCTCCCCAGCAGGAAAAATATCATAAAACAACCATTACTACGGCATAAGCACAGGGCACACAGGAGGAGTACCAGGATGGGTGAGGGGGAGAACCCAGTCAAGGCAGGACCTGACGTGGTCTGAAGCGAGGCTGGATGGGAACAGGAACAGAGACCCCAGGACAGAAAAGGCTGAAAGGATTAAGTTACTTTTGATAAACTGTTGAATGGGGCCAGCATGTAGCTCAGCTGGTTTAGCTTCCACCTGTGACATGGACATCTCACAACCCGGTACAGGTTCCCGACTGCCCCACTCCTGAACCAGCTCCCTATTAATGTGCCTAAGAGGCAGAGGGCGATGGCCCAAGAGTTCAGGCTCCTATCACCCACATGAATCCCACAGACGAAGCTCCTGGCTCTGGCTGGGCCCAGCCCTAGCTGCTGTGGACATTTCGGGGAGTGAATCTGCCAATGGAAGATCTATCTCCCTCGCTCTGTCACTCTGACTTTTAAATAAGTAAAGAGTGTATGTTAAATTGTTAAATGATTGTTTCTCTGTTTAAAAGATTAATTTGTTTTGCTTAAAAGAGTGACAAAAGGAGAATGGACAGATAGAAATCTTCCATCCACTGGTTTGTTTCCCAAATGGCTACAATAGCCAGGGCGGCCAAGCTACAGCCAGAATCTAGAAGCTTCCTCTGTGTCTTCCAGGTGAGTGCAGGGGTCTAACAGCTTGGGCCATCCTTGGCTGCCCTCCCAGGGGCATTATCAGGGAGCTAGACCGGAAGCAGAACAGCACAGACTCAAACCAGTGATCACATGGGAGCTAGCAGCACAGGTAGAGCTTAACCCACTTCTAAGGTCCTTAAAACATTTACTAAGGAGATGTTAAACTTATGTTGGAATTTATTTATACTGTAAACATGTTCATGAAACATGGAAATTGAAAAAATCGAATCTTCATATGTCTAGAACTTTTCTGTTTTAAGGAAAAAAGCGAGAAGAGACAAATGTGAGACAGACAGGGCCAGCAAGGGGAAGATCCTGCAGACCCAAGAACCATTAGCCCCCACAAACATCCCAGGCAGTGTATTTCAGAGCCACTGCTCTTCCTGGGTTCTGAGAGTGGATGCACAGGTCAAAGACACACCAGAGCAGTTGTGAATGCTGGCGATGGAGACTGCAGTGGCCTATTCTGGAAGAGCCAAGCTCAGAGGATGAGAGTTCCACTTCCGTGCAAAGGACTCCTGTCCTTGACAGATCCAAATTCCTACATCTAGCACCCACCAGGCTGGGCGGTACTAGTGTGTTATCCGTAACAGCAGCAAACAAGGCAGTCACTGACCAAGACAGACCAAGGCTCTGCATCCTTGGGGGGTAAGGGGGACAAACATATGTCACAGTGTATCCAACTGTATGGCTTTAAATAAGTACAGCTGGAGCAGGCATCTGCTGCAGTGGGTAAAACCCCTTGGGATACCCACATTCCACATCAAAGTGCCTGGATTTGAGTCCCGGCTCCATTCCCAACTCCAGCTGCCAGCTAACGCACCCCCAGGCAGCAACAGGTGATGGTTCAAGTGGTTGGGTCCCTGCCACCCATGTGGGAGACTTGCACTGAGCTCTGGGTTCTTGTCTTTCACCTGGTTCAGTCCCAGATAGTAAAAGCTAATGGGAAAATGCTTGAGAGAATGGCAAATTTATAAGTGTGAGTGTATACACA